GGTATAGATATATAGAGTAACAATTTTTTTTATTTTAGATTGTTCAACGTTTTAGTTAAGCACATGTAAGTATATAATGAAAATAAATACTTTTCTTTTATTTTGGATTGTACTCCATGTTTGATTGCATCACATGTAAGTATATTTAAAAAATCTTTTTTTATTTTAGGTTGTGTTCAACGTTCAAATTTAGTACATGTAAGTATAGAAACAAAATAAATATTTTTTTTTATTTTAGATTATGTTCTACATTTGACTACATCACACATAAGTATATCGAAAAACAAATATGTTCTATTTTTATTTTAGATTGTGCCCAACCTTTGACTTCATCACATGTAAGTATATAAAGAAAATAAATATTTTTTCTTATTATAGATTGTATTCAACATTTGACTACATCACATGTAAGTATATTTAAAAAAATAAATATTTTTATTTTTATTTTAGATTCTGTTATACGTTTAAGTTCCGCACATGTAAGTATATTAAGAAAATAAATATTCTTTTTTTTCAATTTTAGATTGTGTTCAATATCTCATTGCATCATATGTAAGTATATTTTAAAAAAAATATATGATTTTTATTTTAGATTGTGTTCTACGTTTGACTGCATCATAGAAAGAAAAGAAATATTTTTTTTTATTTTACATTATGTTCTACATTTGACTACATTACACGTAGGTATATCAAAAAGAATATGTTCTTCTTTTATTTTAGATTGTGTCCAACCTTTGACAACATCACATGTAAGTACATTTAAAAAATAAGTATATTTTTTATTTTAGATTGTGTTCAACATTTCACTGCATCACACGTAAGTATATAAAAAAAAATAATTATGTTCTTTTTTTATTTTAGATTGTGTTGAACGTCTAAATTCAGCGCACGTAAGTATATTAAGTAAATCAATATTTTTTTTTAATTTTAGATTGCCTTCAACGTTCACTGTAAAAAAGAAGCGTAGAATAATAAACCCATTGGAAGGGTATATGACAGGGTATATGATTTTCATAAACCCTTATAAGGGTTTATGAAAAGTGTAACATACGGTAAAAAGGGTATATTATTCGTTGTACTTTCATAAACCCTTAAAGGGTTTATTATTCTACGCTTTTTTTTTACAGTGAGAGCTGTATTATTCTGGACAGCTGAGGAAGAAGTCGCTTCTCTATT